TGCTTCTTAGCAAAATGTTCTGAGAAATTAAAGCTGGTCTTTTATTGCGGAAGGCAACAGAAGGGGGAAGTAACACGCTGCTGTGGCAGTATGAAAAGTAAGTGTTGACATCTTGATTCAGAACACGTTCTGTCGGGTGTACTTTGCTGTAAACCAAGTTAGCTGTTAGTTGCCTTCCAGTCAGTTACAATGCTGTTAAGGGCGAATATTCGCCAGTTGGGAAATACTCCAAAAATCACCACAGTGGCCATTTTTGCGTGGCTAACACACGCAAAAATTCGTTTCGCATTCTGTGTAAACACGGCTTACATCCTGGACTCTCCTGACGGGATACTTACTGGACTCTGCCTACAGTATACTTCCTGGACTTTCCTGACAGGATACTTCCTGGACTCTGCCTACAGGATACTTCCTGGACTTTCCTGACAGGATACTTCCTGGACTCTGCCTACAGGATACTTCCTGGACTCTCCTGACAGGATACTTCTGGACTTTCCTGACAGGGCACTTCCTGGACCCCCGTTGTATGTTTTCGGTGTAAATGGACTCCAGCTGAAACCGAACCCATCGGCCAATAAATAACTGGACTCTTTTCTGCTGCTGAACTGAACCAGAACCAGATGTTGTTATAAACGAGGCGTTTGTGGAATGATCTTCCTCCTACTGGTCCCAGCTTCTCTACTTTTCTTCTTCTAATATTTCTGATGATTATCGCTGTTTAATCTGAACATCTCTCCTCTGTGTTTTTGCCTGGTGTGTTTTTTGAGCCTGTGTTTGACCCGTAGTTGTAGTTCTCTGATCATATTAGAATTCTGCATGCGTGTGATGATGATGATGATGAAGATGAAGATTTACGGTGCTTCTTTAAGCTAATTTCTTTTCAAATAAAGACACACGTCAGTGTCACTGATGATTTATGTAGATGGATGACGAAGGTCAGGTTTGACCTTTGACCTCCTGATCTCTGTACAGTTTTCTAATCTTCTGGGACAGGATGAAACAGATCCTCAGCTCTGATTGGTCGAGCTCTGTTTGTTACTGAAACGTTTTTTCTACAAGGGAATAAAAACTTTAAAGGGTTTGTATAAAATGAATCCAGAATCAGTTGTAAAGAAGCACAGACTGCTTTTCTACTGATTGTGTACAGTTTGCTAACAGTGTGTAAATGTGCCTGTAAATACCTGTCTGAGGATGATGATGATGATGATGATGATGATGAAGACGAGTCAGTCTGCAATGGAAATGTGTTTTTATTGTGAAGAGGCAGGAGGCCAAACACAATTTGTATCATGTAAAAATAAAGTTATAATTTTAACAGTTGATCCTGGAGCCTGTTGTCATCTTTAAATGCTTTTACACTGTTGTCATGTGATGTCATGCGAACGCAGGAAGTTCACTCACACTAAAGTATTTTTACATGACGGTAATTTTTCTTGAATGGAGGATGTGAATACTTGAGTGTCTCTGACTGAAGTATGGCCAGAGACAAGACATAGAGTTCCCACATATAAAATATTTTTTCACCAGTTTCGTCTGATCGTAATGTTAGAAATACAAAACAAAACAAAAGCATTAAATGTAATGAAGGAGTGGATTTTAACCCTCATACAGACTGTGAGATTTGATCAGTCTTATAAGTTTAGTGCGGCTACACTGTGTGACATGGATCTAATAAACTTGGGTACGACATCAGGTTTGATGTTTGCAGACTGTACGATGACAGCGCCTACTGAATCACAGGCTACGAGGTACGATGTCACAGCTTCACATACTGAGTGATGCTGCAGGGTTATTACTCAAAGACAAAGAGCAAGTAGATCAGCTCAGGAAGGACGTAGCCAGCGACCTGGAGAACATCGACAAAACCACGCTTCCTGGCAAGCTGAAGCTCTGGTGCATGCAGTTCGAACTACTTCCACACCTCGTGGCCACTAACCCTTTATGAAGTTCCGATCTCAAAGGTGGAAAAGCTTGAGAGACTGGTCAGCTCATATGCAAGGAAGTGGCTTGGCCTTCCCAGGTGCCTCAGCAGTACTGGGCTCTATGGCAAGGGAGTGTTAGACCTGCCCATTTCCAGTCTATCAGAGGAGTACAAGTACACCAAAGTATGACTGGAGATGATGCTACAGGATTCAAGTGATCCATTTGTAGCCCAAGCTGCCCCCATCCTGGCTACTGGGAGGAAGTGGACTCCACTGGCTGCAACTGAGCAGGCAAAGGCAGCACAAAAACACAAAGACATCATTGGCTGAATGCAGCATGGGAGGAGTGGTCTTGGTCTTGGGGACAACACACCAGCCTGGAACAAGGCCACTCCGTCCCAGAGATACAAGCTTGTGGTTCAGGAGGTGTGTCGGGAAGAGGAAGCAGGAAGGTGTGCAAAGGCCGTGGCACAGGCAAAGCAAGGGCAGTGGATGACATGGGAAGGAGTGGAGAAGAGGAAGATCTCCTGGCAAGAGCTGTGGGAAATGGAGGCATTCAGGGCAAGCTTTACCATCAGGGCTGTGTGAAGACCCCACATGCCCATTCTGTCCAAATCCAGCAACACTGAAGCACATCTTGGTGGGCTGCAAGACCAGCCTCACCCAAGGCCGTTACACCTGGCGGCACAACCAGGTGTTAAAGTGTCTTGCAGCAGTGTTGGAAATTCGACGGACAAGTGTCAACGCCCTTCCTCCCCAGTCATCCTGCTGGCAGGAAACAACATTTGTCCGGGAGGACGAGGGTCAAGCCAGTCTCGCCACCTCAAGACCAGACACTGGGCAGCTAGGCAGGGCACAGGATTGGAAGCTGCTGGCAGACTTGGGCCAGAAGCTCTGCTTTCCAGCTGAGATCACGTCCACCAACCTGCGACCAGACCTGCTATGGTCAGCCTCGCTCAGGCACGTGTATATCATCGAGCTGACAGTGCCCTGGGAGAGTGCAGTGGAGGAGGCCAACGAGCGCAAGAAGCTGAGGTACGCTGAGTTTGCAGCCGATGTACAACAACAAGGCTGGACAGCGGAGGTACTGGTCAGTAGAAGTCGGCTGCAGAGGGTTCGTAACCACCTCAACATCCAAGCTACTCCAGGAGATGGGAGTGCGAGGGAAGGCCCACAGGCAGGCAATCAAGGACCTCTCCAGAGCCGCTGAAAAGGGGAGTCATTGTCTTTGGATAAAGAGGAAGGACTCCACCTGGGCCCTCAAATAAGTAGATGGCATCTAGGGGATGAACCTGGGACGCTGGGATTCACTGCTGAACCTTCTGGAGGTGTTGTGGGCCAATCAGAGAAACAGCAAGGAAGGAGGGCGCCGACTTGATAACCTAGAGGATGCCATCTCTCACTTGACCATCCCACAGAGTCCAGCAGTGTCTCAAGTGTGCAATAAGGGATATTAACATCTAGTCCTACACAACAGATCTGCTCCAACTGTGGGGGATCATATTAATGACATTATAAGTTAATAAAATGTTGATAAAATGTCAGAAAACAATGTTAATAAAATGTCTGAAAAATATCCCAAAGTTTAGTGGGCACTATAACTGCGATGTGTGTGTGTGTGTGTGTGTGTGTGTGTGTGTGTGTGTGTTTGTAACTCCGCCTGTACCTGTAACTCCGCCTCCGCCTCATGGTAGGAGCTGGTGGAAGAGCTGTGGCAGCTGCTCTTAAGGATGCTCTGCGTTTTTTGGGGAATGCTTTTGTGATTGGTGGTTGTCAGGGCAGTTGTGGTGAGGCACTGTGAAGGCAGCTTAATGTATATTAAAAGTAGAAAAAAAAGTAAAATCCCAGTGTGAATCAATTTATAGAAAGTGTTTTGGGGGGCACCCAGGATTTAGGAGGATATATTGGCAGATATATGTTATTATACATGTATATATATATATATATATATATATATATATATATATATATACACACATATATATGCATATATACATATATAGCTGAAGTTGAAACCATTTCACTCAGTGGAAATGAAACTTTGATTTACTTTAATTTCACAGATAAGAAACAATAGCATTTTAAGTCTTGTGTGTGATTTATCCTGGCTTCATATGAGTAGGGAAAATATACACTAGCTGCTAGGCCAATTTATACAATGTAAAATGCCATAGGCTTGTGCTAATAACGTTAGCATGTTGTATTTGTTTAGAAAATGTGTCCAGATAAAGACAAGTGTTTGTCTGTGAATGCTGCGAGTTATAGTGAAGCTGATTTGTGTGTGAAACTGTCTCTATTAAGCCATGTTTAGTGTGTGTTTAATGTGTGTTTAATTAATGTGTGTTTTGAATCAACTAAACTTTACAGCACTTCACAGAAACATCCACTGCTGACTAGTGTTTTGGAGGTGTAACTGCAGACACACCACCGCACAAGTATAAATGCTCAAAATGGTGTACGCTATGCATAGAGCTGACATACACGTTTAAATCTGCCTTTACACACTTCATGTTTAAGGGGGTGTAAAAACTTCATAATCCTCAGAATTCTGACTGCTCACTTTTTTATTACCAGCATTTACTTGTAGTTTTACTTTCAATACTTAAATACATTTAATATAATACAATTATTGTTGATAATTAAAATATCAGGTACTTTAAGACTTTACTAAAGTAATATTCTAATATTCACCTCTTGAATATCTATATTTATTCAACATTCAGCGCACATATCTGCACATATTCCTTATTTTTTTTATTTATTTTATATTCTTGTGTTACTCCAGTGATTATATATTTCATTGTAATTAACACACTTACAGCCTCAGAACAGTGATGATATGTATTTTATCTGCAATATTTTCAATATCTTAAGTTCCAGTGTTAAACACTGTAGCATAATATACACATTATTTTTTTTTTATTTCAGTGCACATTTTCATTTCTATTTTGTTTTATTTTATTGCTTTATAATAACATGCTGCTATTTCATACTCTTATTCTTACGTCATCATAATTCTCTGCTCAGATCAGATCAGTTTCATCCTCAGAGATCAGCAAAGTTTTTCGGACTCTGATTCTGTGACCAAACTCATCTCCAGCTCAGATATCTGTTCCTGTACTCAGGTGTATTTTTCAGTTACTTGATCCTCCGCTGGTTTCTGCACATTTCACCTGTAGAAGTGTTCAGTACTTTAACGTGGGGGACACCCACAGACCGGCCCGTGTTTAAAGTCTTCTAGATCCGCCACTGGTCCCAGTTTGGGTCCAGTCTAAGCGTGGCCGTTCACTGCGCATGCGCAAAGACCGGTGTCCGGTGTCGGACTGACAGCAGCTGTTGAGACCATGAACGGTAGGACCGAGGCAGCAGAGAAAACACACCCAGAATAAAAGAGTGGACCCGGTACTGAGCCGGCAGTGATCCGGTACTACTGAAGGGTACAGATCCGGTGCTGACCCGGGACTGACCGGGCCGGTCTGCAGGAAGATCCGCCGATCTGCAGCTGGAGCTAACGGAGCTAACGGAGCTAAGTGACGGCAGACCGTCAGCTGTTTTCTGACTAACGGACAGGCCACGTTCAGCACGCGTCACCGCACTGAGCCGTTCTGACCCGGGTTAATTCGTCCGGTCGGACTGTCTGCGGGTCTCAGCGCCGGTTGGTGGGGACGTCCAGCCGCTTCACGGAGGCTAACTACCTGTCAGAGAACCGTCAGCCCGGCCGGGACACAGCGCTCCGACCCGGTTCGGTTTGAGGACCGGGAGCCAGGATGCTGATAGGTAAAGTACTTGTGACCCAGGTCGGTGTCCCGGCACAGCTGTCGGTGTTGTCGGTACAGTTTGTGTCGAATTCAGTGACCGTTAAATCAACACGCTGAACTCCAGAGAGCGAAGCTAACATGCTAAGCTAACTGCCGTTAGCTAACGGTACCAGCCCGTGACACACACAGCACACACATTCTGGTTCCTCTGGCCTTGTGAGGAACCTCATTGACTTAACACAGTGTCTGTCCCCTCACTGTAAGGGACTGTTCCGTACTCATGTGAGGGGGGGAGGTGGTGGGACAAAAGGAGGAGACATGTCATATAATTTTTAAGCACTGGGGAGGGACTCGTGTTTAATTTGGCTCAGGGGAGGGGCACGCACGTTTGAATGTTTTAGTTTGTTTTTACTTTACTGCAGAATTGTAGATGGAACATGCTGCGAGTTTGGACGCCATGTTTTCTTTTAAAAAAGTCAAAAATAAACCATTTATCACAACCAGAAACTGTAAAAATAGAAATTATAGTTAGACTGTAAATTTCCGACTGTCCTTTGACGCATCATGAACACTTTAATCAGGAAAAACCCCATAATCAAATCTGAGCTTCTTCTTCTTTTCCTCTCTCTTCTTTTTAAACGGCAAATTGCAGACGGTGGAGAATTATCGCCACTGTCTCCGCCCACACACAAACCAAACTTACGTCTCAACTTCAGTGCTGATTAAAATGTGCCACTGTAGCCAGGAGCAAGTTAGCTAGCAAGCTAACGTCAGCACACGCATTATTGTTGATAGTATTTCAGACCCAACAAACATTATTAGCCATGTTTCCATCCAAAAGTGATTCAAATCATTGGGAAATGCACATTAAAATACGAATCCTGTGTGTTTACATTAAATGTACGGACTTTGGTGAAAACTACAAACTCGCGCGAGTTTTCCGCAGAACCGGAAAAAAAACAAGTCTCGCATTCTTCTTCTTCTTCTTCTTCTTCTACGTTTTCTGTCGGTTGGCAACCAGCTTGTAAATGCATTACCGCCTTCCCGACCCGGAGTGTGGATATCACCATGGAGAGAGGTGCGCTACGTCAGACTTAATTCGAACATAACTGTTTCCATCCCCTGTTTTGCCAATCAACATTTTTTCGAATCAACCAAAACCCGGCTAAAGCGGGCGTATTTTAGTTTGTGCGAATCAGTGGATTTTATTTCAAATTTTGGCGTTTCCATCATAATTTTCCGATGTGATACTTCTGGATGTGCATTTTTCCATCTAAACTGATGGAAGATACCGATTCTGATCCAATACCAGTGCGTACAATAAAAATGGATGGGCTATGAATTGTTGTATATCTCAACTCCTAGAACTCTGTAAAATATTAAGAAATAAATACATAATAGTAGAATGAATGCCATAACACTTTTTTTATTATTATTATTATCTAGTGTTGACACGGATCAAGACACAGGTTAAAGTGCAGCCACACAATTTGGTAAAAAAGACATTTTAAAGGCTACAGTAGAATGCTTTTTAAACTCCACTCCATTTCCGTTTCATTTGCCTGTAGCGTGCATATGCGTAATGACATGAGGTATTACGTGGTATCGGATTGGTCATAGGCTGTACTCGCCGATACCTCGTTTTAGGCAGTATCAGAGGCATTTCCGATACTGGTATTGGTATTAGGGCTGTAGTCTCCTGGTCGACTAGTCGATTATTTGGTCGCTATGCTCTCGTCCGACCAAATTCTCATTAGTCGAATAGTTGCCATGTTACTTTCATAAGGAGAAAAGTGCTACATCAACAGCTTTCCAGGATTAATCCATTATTTCCTGCGGTGGGGGGACAGGCTAAGTTACCTGTGAAAATGGGGGTGTTTTCAAAACACCCTCGTTGTTGACAGAAAGTTGAATTCGCTCCCACCCTCACGCTCAGCGTCGCGGTGACGCAGACCTCCTGTCTGTCTCTGTAAGCTGACACCATTTCCCTCAGTGGAAACGAAGCTTGTATTTACTTGTGTATTTCACAGATAAGAAACAATAAATTGTGAAAACAGCAAAGCCTCCACTAAAATAGCATTTTAAGTCGTGTGTGTGATTCATGCTGGCCTTATATGAGCAGAGGAAATTTCCGCTTGTCGCTAGGCTAATTTATACAATCTCAAATGCCATAGGCTGGCGCTAAAACGTTAGCATGTTGTAATTGCTTGGAAAACGTGTTTAGTATCAGACAGTTGTTTTGTCAGTGAATGTTGTGAGTTGTAATGGAGCCACATTGTGTACCATACCTTTGTTACATGTTGCTGTTGTCCCTGGTTTTATATGAGAAGGGGGAAAGATCGCTAGACGCTAGGCTAATTTATACAATGTAAAATGCCATAGACTTGTGCTAATAACGTTAGCATGTTGTATTGGTGGGGGAAATGTGTCCAGATAAAGACAAGTGTTTGTCTGTCAGTTCTGCGATTTATAGTGAAGCCAGTTGTGTCTGAAACTGTCCCTATTAAGCCATGTTTAATGTGTGTTTAATGTGTGTTTAATGTGTGTTTAATGAGAGTTTTGAATCAACTATATAAATAAAGTTTGATTCGAACTAAACTTTACAGCACTTAACACAGTCCTCCACCGCCGACTAGTGTTTTGGAGGTGTAACTGCAGAGTGACACAGACACACCACCGCACAAGTAAAAATAACGTGCAGATTGTTTTTTCTACGACTAATCGATTAGTTGAAGATTATGTGTGACTTTAGTCGACCAAGATTTTCTTTGGTTGACTACAGCCCTAATTGGTATCGGTACAACTCTAGTCCTTAGTGCAAAAAACATGTAGAACTTCCATTTGTAGAACATGGCCATGTTCACTGTAGCCAGCTCTGCTCCTTGTTGTCCTCAGCCGCCATGTCACAAAGAGGGCGACCGCTGAGGGTGAGAAGTTTCCGTCATTTCACAGTCAACGTTTGGACCGTTTTGAGTGCACCAGTAGTACACTGCATTTTGGGGGGGGGGGGGCCATGACAGAAACGTGCAAGAATTGGGGGTAATGTAGTGTTTCACGGACATTTTTATTGGAAACTACAACGCGGAAGTGCGCTCAACGCTCCGCTTATAGTGCGCCCGAGTCTGTGAGCACTTTAAATTAAAACTCTCGGCACACACTGCAACACAACCAAACAGATGCGCAACTCAGAGGATCAGAAGTGTCTCTGACACCAGACTCAGAGCAGCTCTGAGTGCGCTCGTGGCTCGTTGACGGTGTTAGTGTTGCGTTTAAGGCCTCCCCCAAAAAACGGAAAAAAAGCGCTGAAGCTTCGAATTTTTTTCTTCACAATCAAATCCCGTGCCATCGAACGAAGCTTCGAATTTTTTGGGTTAGCCCTAGCATTTTCCTGTACTATTCAGTGTGGACGCGCTTAGTGCACTTGTGTTTAGTACAGAAGGATTAGATTTGAGACACACTGACAGTCCTAACCCTCAAACAGGCTTGTGACAAAGTGAGGACCGGCCCAAATGTCCCCGCTCTTAAAAAATGTTTTTACTCTGTTGCTTTAATACATTTTGTAGTCCTCACTATGTATCACACACTCAGAGACACAGAGACACACGTGCACAGATATGATAGGATGATGTGTTCACTGTCTGCTGGTAAACTGAGCTCTCACTGATCCTCCAGGTGACATTTTATTTCCATGTGAACTCTGATTGTCACTCCTGGCTGGTCGTCTCCGTCACGTCCTGACACGTCCTGGTTGTGTCTAAACTGTTCAGCCCTGTCTGCGGTTCGACAATACCTGATCAAATGATTTTAGTAACTCTGCTAATGAATGTTGGAACATTTTTTAGCATATTTTAATGACAGGGTGGATGACATCAGAATACCTCAGTATATAAATGATGACTTTGTTTTTGACACATAAATAAATAAAGGTTAAGGCTTTTCTGTCTTTGAGCCGACATCTTTGCCCAGTCTAACAAAGGTAGTCATGGCAGCGTGATGTGCAACTTGTTCTTTAGATCCTCTGCCATCTTGGATGGTCAAGGAGCTATGGTCTACCCTAGGTCATTATGTTTTATACATTTTAAACTTATCATTTTCCACTGGTGTTTTCCCAGGTTGTATTAAATCTGCTGTGGTTAAGCCCTAATTAAAGAAGCCTGGCTTGGACGCCAACTCCTTGAAACATTATAGACCTGTCTCCAATCTTGTGTTTTTGTCAGTCTTTGTTCAAGTCTTTGAACAAATTGTCTTAAATCAGATCTTGAAATACTTGACATTAAATGACCTCTTTCTGTCTGCTTTCAGAGTAAATCATTCAACTGAAACGCAAATGTAAATGATTTATTATTGGCTGTAGATTCAGAGTCAGCATCTGTGCTACTGTTGCTTGATCTAAGTGCGACATTTGACACAGTGGATCATTCTATTTTATTGGACAGACTTGAAAATGACTTTGACATCTCAGGTCAGGTGCTCCTTTGGTTGAGATCTTACTTGTCAGACAGATCTCAACGTGTCTTATATAATAACACATTCTCCGAAATGCATGCCATTAGTCATGGGGTTCCACAGGGGTCTGTACTTGGTCCACTGCTATTTTCTCTGTACTTGGCACCCTTGGGTCAGGTTTTACGTTCATTTGGGATCTCTTTTCATTGTTTTGCCAACGATTTACAGTTGTATGCCTAATATCCTGCAAAATGGTTCCGAGATAACTAAACTTGAGACCTGTGTAGCTGCAGTTAGGGGATGGTCATCTAGAAATTTCCTGTTACTTAACTAGACTAAGACAGGTCCTGCAAAATTAAGGCATTTCTATGAACATATTACTTTGTCTCTGGATGATTTTGTGATTCATTGCAGTGACAGAGTTAAGAGTCTTGGTGTGCTCTTGGATCAGACCCTCTCGTTTGATTTTCATATAAAGGACCAGAATGGCCTTTTTTCACATATGGAACATTACCAAGATTCGACCTATCCTTTCATTTAAGGATGCTGAGATCCTTATTCATGCTTTTGCCACATCAAGGCTAGATTATTGCAATGTCCTTCTGTCAGGTTTGCCTAAGAAGAGTTTTCGGGGTCTTCAGATGGTACAGAACGCAGCAGCTTGTGTTTTGACCGGAGCGGATAAATATGAGCATATTACTCCCGTGTTGGCCTCGCTCCGCTGGCTTCAGGCAGAGGTTAGAGCAGACTTTAAAGTGCTTTTGCTTACTTATAAAATTGTAAATGGCATTGCACCACAGTACTCGTGATTAAACCATACACACTTGCATGTGAACTGCGCTCCCAGGGGACTCATCTTCTGAGTGTCCCGTAGAAAGACGGTTGGTGAGCGTGCTTTTACATTTTGTGCACCAAGCTTGTGGAACAGTCTACCTATTGGTATTAGGCAGGAATGTTCAGTTGATATTTTTAAAGCAAAGCTGAAGACCCATTTGTTCACTGTTGTGTATAAGTCTTGATTTGTCTGTTTATTGTTGACCATCATTGTTTTATTTTGTTATACTGTTTTTAGTAGCCTTCCCGTTTTTAATGATGCACAGCTGTACATGTATGTACATGTAAGGCTTTACAAATAGGGAGAGGCGTGTTTGTGGGACAGGATGTGTCCAAGGACTGTTGGAAATTTGAAAATACTACAATAATTTCTGTTTTTGCAGTTTCTGGCTGTGATACATGGTGTCATTTGGGCATGTTTTCTTTAAAAATCAGCAGTAAAATAAATACAAAATAAAACCATTTAAATCTGTGCGCCCCTCCCCTTAGCCAAAATGAAAAACATAAGTCCCTCAAAATATTTAACATGCCTGCTTCTTTTCACACCACCCCTCCCCCTTCATAAATAACAAACAGTCCTTTAGGGGTTCACATGTTCCAACCATAGACCATAATATATTTCTATAGTTTAAGCAGGTGTTAAATTTGAAGCTTTTGAATCAGAGTTTGGTGTACGGTATTAATGGAGGTTAATGGAGGTTGGTGTGTGACTGAACCTTGAGTTGTGGAGGTGTGACTAAATGTAGCGCTGACTCTGATGTTCCTCCTCTCAGCAGCAGTCGGTGCAGGAACTGGAAATGCTGCCACCACCGGCAAGAAACACCGGCGGAGAGGCAAAAAACACCGGAGAGTCCGAACAGACGAGAATCGGTAAGATTGTGTGCATTTACTTTGAGTTTGAGCTCCACCTACGAGCTGAGCACACAGGTGTAGTTAATCAGACTGATGTCAGCAGACAACCACATCACCAGAGCTGACAAAGCATTATCTTGAAGTGTGTGAATCACCACAGACCTGTGGATAAAACTAAATCAAAGAAGTTAAGCACTGCTAAACAGGTGGAAGCTGACTACAGACCTGCATTTTAAGTCCTGTGTGTGATTTATCCTGACTTCACATGAGTAAAGAAAAACTCTGCTAATTGCTAGGCTAATTTATATGTTGTAAAATACCATAGGCTTGTGCTAATAACATTGGCATGTTGTATTTGTGGGGAAAACGTGTCCAGAGTTCAGTGTTTTGTCTGTGAATCTTGTGACTTATAATGAAGCTGATTTGTGTACTTGTATGAAATTGTCGCTATTAAGCCAAAAGGCGGCTGCGGCTCAGGAAGGACAACAGGTCGTCCGCAAGCCTAAGTGACAACTCTCTGTACTTCTGATCTGTAACGTTGACAGGAAGTGACCACCATGAGACGGTGTATCATCTCTAGTCAACTCAGACGAGCTCAGACCGGCCAGTTCACTCTGCTGACACTTTTCTCTATGACGTTCTAAAAACATCATCTCGTCAAGAATCTTTGGTCTGAACTGTGATCTCATCAGTGATGAAAGTCAGCAGTTAAAATATTGTCACTCAGCAGAAGTGTTTTCTGACCTAAACAACAAAGAGGAATCATCTACTGACAGTCACCTCTTCAAACACTCAGACTTAAGGGTTCTGCTCTGTGGTTCAGATGATGGTCAAATCTACCAGATATAAACTCTCACTGCTCAGCTCGTCTTCAACCACAACACTTTCTTCTTCTTTTCTTTTTCTTCATTATATTTGAACTTGTGTACGTCATGTTTTTGCCTCTTCACTCCTGTGTTTATTTGTTTTTATTATGTGTGTTTATGTGTGTGGGATTTTTATATTCTGTGTGTCACTGCTGCTGCCGCCGAACTGGGGACAAATGAAGGTCATGAACTCAAACAAAGCAACCGCACATTTTACACGGTAATTCAAAACCTGGATCATGACTGTGCATCGCTGAAGGGAAGTGGGGGACTCTTCATCATAACTGATGAATGTAGCGTATAAACCTGAACAGACCTTGTGGATCCATTTAAACTGTTGAACACAGTTCGACGCACAAGGAGGTCTGCACAGGAAAAAGATGCGTGATACAGAAGATACCACATATATATCTGTGTCTTAGTTGCTAGGCTAACAATTCCCCCTTGCTTCCAGTCCTTGTGCTAAGCTAGGCTAACAGGCTAGGCTAAGCTAGGCTAACAGTTGCCCAGTGCTTCCAGTCTTTGTGCTAAGCTAACGGGTGGCCTACTGACAGAAACAGGTTTGGTGCTCCGTCTGCAGAGACTCGGCTCCAATAATAGAACCAGAGACTGAATCGTGATCCCACAACACGTGCGCACACACACACACACACACACACACACACACACACACACAGAGTCTATTTTAGTACGCCGAACCTCAACAATGTCCATGACTCAGAGAAGTCATGGAGAGGGGAGCAGCTGTGTGTGACGCAGATATATGATCCGTCTGACTCTGTGTATGTGATTAGAATGACATCATCATCCAATGTTTCCAGGCCGAAAACATCCTCCCTGTACATGTACAGGTATCGTATCTGATTCATGGCCGCACGATTAATTGAATTTTAATTAAAAAAAAACACGATTCCCAAAATTAAATAAACCTGATCGGCTACAATATCGATGTTTAAAATGATCTGCTCATAGAAAACTTAGCTGCACATCAAAGCAAGTGCTTTCTAAACTAAGAGCAGCCTCCACTTTGGGGGAGCTGTACGCTTCTCGTGCAGGCTGCAGTGTCAGCCTGTGAAAAACTTTCCTCAGTGTTGCGACTGCAGATGAGCTAGAACAGAGGATTGGGCGGCACGGTGGTACAGTGGTAACCATTGTCGCCTTACAGCAGCAGGGTTACTGGTTAGATCCCGGGGTGGGGGAGCCTTCTGTGCGTGTTCTCCCAGTGTCAGTGTTGGTTTCCTCCAGGTGCTCCAGCTTCCTCCCACAGTCCAAAGACATGCAGGTTAATTGGTGACTCTAAATTGTCCATAGGTGTGAATGTGAGTGTGAATGGTTGTCTGTCTCTATGTGTCAGTCCTGTGATAGTCTGGTGACCTGTCCAGGGTGAACCCTGCCTCTCACCCAGTGTCAGCTGGGATAGGCTCCACCCCCTGTGACCCCCAACAGGATAAGCAGTTAGATGAATGAATGAAGATGAATGCACAAAGGCGGAGGAGAAGAATAACAACACTTACGTTAGCTCACTGAATCCCAAACCTTGTTTAGAGTCAACTCGGACATCCATAGTAACACCGCCATTTAGGGTTGGGTTAACTCGATCAGATAATCTGTCTGACGTCAACATCAAAAGCGTTTTCATTCTTTGTGAATGTCCATGCTGGTGGTTGTCTTCAGTTTTTCACATCTTCAGTCTCAAGATGTTCATAGTTTAGACCTGTTCACATGAAAAGTGACAGAAAGAAAAGTTCAAACCCCGCCCACTTTCTCATCACCACACAGCTGACCAACCACAGTGCGTGGTGGCTGTGATGTCACATTTTTCAGACAAGCACTAGTTTGAGGCCCTTCCTGTGGAGCCGTGGTGTAATACGTTGTTTTCCTCTGTTTCAGGCCTGATGACTTCTGTAATCTTCAGAGTCCAGATACCAACAGCAGCCTTGACCCGACACCCCAGCAGAGTCACTCCCAACCTGCCCAGCCCCGCCCCCAAAGTGCTCCAGATACAACCACATCACCACAGAACACGCCAACATGTACTGAAGATCTCCATGAGCCCATCACAGCGCCCCCACAGACCCCCCCACCCACCGCCGCCACCCCGCCGCCTCCCCAACCTGTCTCACCACCTCCCCAGACACCCCCTCCCCCTCTGGATCCAACAGACACACCTGTAGCACACCTGGAACCTCCTGCGAGTCTAAACACCTCCCTGACATCCCCAGTGACGCCTGAGATATTCAGCCAATCCCCTCCTGCCACGTCTCAAAGTCCTGAGCACAGTCCTAGCCACTCACCGCCCCCTGTCAACCAAAATATTACCCAGAATTCCTCCAGATCACCTCACAGAACTCAGAGTCCGCCTGATGGCCGAACAGATGCTTTCAAATTGCCTCCAGCGTCACCACACATTATTACCCACAATGCCTCAGAATCACCATCAGTTTCTGCCCAGCAGCCTACCAAAGCTCCTCCCACACCTCCATTAAGCCCCTCCCACCCTGACCCCTTCCTGCTGAACTCAGTGACCTTCACCTCCAGCGTCTCCTCCCACCTCTACTCCCCCAGCTCCTCGTCCACCTCCTTCCTCCGTTCCTTTGACACCCTCGGCCCCCACACCGGTCTGCCTCCCATGATGTCATCAGCCACCCCACATATGACCACACCCCCTTTGACTCTAAGTCCACCCCCTCCTGAGTTAACTCCACCTCCTGTCCAGCTGCTGGGCTCTGACGATGAGGAGCAGGAAGACCCGTCAGATTACTGCAAAGGTGAGAGTTTATTTCCTGATTCAGCGAAGAGAACCGAAATGACTGACGATGATTCGTCCTCTGATTTTCTGACGCAGTGAAAACATGAATAATAAAGGAATCAAACAGCTCCACCTGCTGCATTATGTATTTACAGTCAATTAAAAATAAATGACGATAAAGGATTGATAAACTTGGCTGATATTTGATCCAACCAATGTCTGTCTCCTGTCTGGGTCCAGGCTGCGCTGACAGCAGACTGAGTACGGTTCTCCTCCGTCAGCTTCAGAATCAACTAGGGGTGGGAATCACCATATGATATTATCACAATACTTAGATCACAATACATTACTGCGATATGCTGAGTATTTTGATAAAATATATTGTGATTTATTACCTTTTTTTCCAACTGCAGTATGCACGCAATCAGCACACACTACTATACCAATGAAATTTCCTCCTCAGGGGCCGGGGGTAACATGCATCCTGGGTGATCAGTCTGACAGTGGAAAGCCCCAAGTGTGAATGCACCCATTGCATCCTCAATGTGTCTTGAGATCTGATCACTCAGACCAGATTCAGAGATGGTCTGTGCTGCATGTGGCTGCGTTCTGTCAGCAGTGTGTGAGCTAATGTTTCCTGGGCCACACTGAAGGAATGCCTGCTCAGGTGACATCATCTGTATAGGCAGAAGTATGAGCTCATTCGTGAACCAACAGCAAACCACAACCCCTCCTCCTTTCGTTAGGTCTCTGTCTGTCCGTCCCATCTGAAGTCTCTGTCCGTTCGTCCCATCTGAAAGCTGACGATGGTCCTGTTTGTGTCTGGAGTATTTCCAGCCTTTGTCTTCTTCTTTTGCTGCATTAAATTTCCAGCAGACCAATCTCTGCAGGTGGAAATGATGCTCGTGTTAATTTGTATAAAGAGCAGGAAAAGAGATCTGATCACAAGTTGTTACTCGACATGCGTTATGATGGCAGGTGTAAAGAGACAGGCTCAGAGCTGTCCACTTGTGATCAGATCACCCAGGAGGCCTGACGATACCAGGTGTAAACAGGACCAGAGAAATGACCCAACACAGAGGCTCTCGTCACTGTGTCCGTGCTGAGTCTCCAGTTTGTTCCGTTCTGTTTGTGTTCCAGGTGGTTACTACCCCGTGAAGATCGGTGATCTGTTTAACGGGAGGTACCACGTGGTCAGGAAACTGGGCTGGGGACATTTTTCTACAGTGTGGCTCTGCTGGGACCTGCAGTAAGACACACACGCACACACACATTTATCATTGTAATTCTGAGGTCTTTGCATCGATTCTGTCACGTCGTGAATCTGTGTGTTTAGGAAGAAGCGCTTTGTGGCGTTGAAGGTGGTGAAGAGCGCTCCACATTACACTGAGACGGCTCTGGACGAGATCAAACTGCTGAGATGTGTGAGTACACACACACACACACACACACACACACACGCACAGGTTATATCTGCAGCAGAGACTCTACAGCTGCAAGGAAATTATGATTTGGATGAGAAGTGATAGTGAGTGATAATCATGAAAGGCTGGTCATGACATTAAAGTCTGTGCAGTCTGTGCTGCGTCCATTCCTCGTTACTCCCACAGTAACATGATGATTTTGGAACACAGCGTTCTGCAGTACACAGGTGACAAGTGTTTCTGTGTACAGGTGAGAGACAGTGACCCCTCTGACCCCTACAGAGAAACCATCGTCCAGCTGATTGATGACTTCAAGATATCAGGAGTCAACGGAGTGCGTATCCTTCCTCATCACCTGTACCTGTCTACCTGTCTGTATACTCACCTGTACCTGTATACCTGTCTGTATACTCACCTGTACCTGTATACCTGTCTGTATACTCACCTGTACCTGTATACCTGTCTGTATACTCACCTGTACCTGTATACCTGCCTGTCTTCATCAGTCAGTAGTTTCCTCAGCTTTTCTCAGATGTCTGTATGGTTCTGGAAGTTTTGGGTCATCAGCTGTTAAAATGGATCATTAAGTCGAACTACATGGGACTTCCTCTGGTGTGTGTCAAGACCATCATCAGACAGGTAACACACACACCTACAATGTGCACACAATGACTCAGGACATGACATCAGTGACACGTTGACCTGTTGAGTGACTCGGCTGTGTGGCTGCAGGTGCTGCAGGGGCTGGACTACCTCCACACCAAGTGTAAGATCATCCACACCGACATCAAACCAGAGAACATCTTGTTGGACGTAGATGAGGTTTACATCAGGAGACTGGCAGCTGAGGCAACCTTCTGGCAGAGAGCTGGAGCCCCGCCCCCTTCTGGGTCATCAGGTGAGGAGCAGCCACGTGATTGGTCAGAATGGCAGTTTAATGTTTCTCCACTGGAGTCAAACAGCAGTGTTACTGGGAGCTGTGGTTTCCACTTTGTTCAGACACACAGCAACTTTCTGTCTGTCTGTCTGTCTGTCTGTCTGCTCGTTAAGCTGTCTCCTTCTTTTCTCTTTCCACATAGTTCTGACCTGTCTGTCTGTCTGTCTGTCTGTCTGTTTCCATCTTTACTTCCTGTTTCTGATGTTATCTTCCTGTCTCTTCTCTCCCTGTCTGTCTGCCTCCACGTGTCCCTCTAGTTAGCATGGCTCCCAGGGATCTACAGGTAAGTGTCCAGGTGTGATGCCTGCTATGTTCTCATTGGTCACGGCCATGTCAGAGTGAGAACTTGTCTCTGGTGTTGACCTGCCGGAAATAGCTTCCTGCTAATAAAACCTGATCAAACAATCCAGCTTGTTGAATGTAAAAACAGGAAGTGAGACACACACACACACTATCCTGTGGTGGTTTTTTGCTATACTGTGAAAGAGATTCTCAGAGAGCTATTACTGTAAATTTTATAAGGAATTATTTTAAATTAGAATAAATTCAGAGCAAAATTAAAACTAAATATATTACTTTGGCTGGCCCGACACACAGACGGCAGGAGGAGCGGCTGCTGCAGCACGATAATATATTACACCAAAAGATCAATATACAGATTAAAAGAGCCAGTAACGCTGAAGCTTTTCAAGACTATGGTCGTCAATAGTTCAGCGCAGTGGCCTGTTTTCTACTGGAGAGATTAACGGGCTTAAAGCTCCACACATCCGTGGGAAAAGCCTTTATTAAAAGGTTGATCTGATTCAAATGAAAATCGATTTGAATTAGATGAATTGATTATTTTCAGCCAGCCCTACCTACTGTGTCCTGTGATGGTGGCGTCCAAGGCCGCAGTGGTCTAAGAGTTTCACGTAATGATAAGCCTCTCCGAAAATATCTCGGTTTCACGGTATCACAGTTATTATTATCATCAGTTGAAATGAGCCTAAAGGAATGAAAACAAAATTATTTTTGGTTGAACAAACGTTTTATTTCTATGATTGAAACTTAAACCATTGTTTTAAAATGGAAGTTAGTGTAAAAAGTCTCCCCGTTGATAATAAATTGGAAGAAAAAAATATATGAATATATGTGTATATATAAATTGAAAATACATAAAATTGAGATTTTCCGTCCAGTTGCATTTTTTTTCATATCGTAGATAAACAAATGTAACGGTACAATAACTGTCAACTTTTATATCACAGTATACCTTAAAACCGGTATATCGCTGCGACCCCAGTGGTGTCACCAGTTTGATTTCAGTAGGACACACACACACACACACACACACACACACACACCCACAGTTTCCTGTGATGGTGATGTCACTGGTTTGATTCCAGTTTGGGACATTTGTTGCATGTTTCCATGAAATAAAAACAAATAGTGTTTTCACCAGTGTGTAGTGTAGGTAACACAGAGTGTGTGTGTGTTAGAGCACATTCACATCGGTGTGTAGAAACTTCACTGTGTTCTGCTGTCTCTCTCTCATTCTGTGAGTGTGTGTGTGTGTGTATTGTTGTGTATACACGTGTGTGTGTAGGTCGGTAAGCTGTCTAAGAACAAGAAGAAGAAGTTGAAGAGGAAAGCCAAGCGTCAGCAGAGACTGTTGGAGGAGAGACTGGTGGATATACAGGTACTGTAACACTGATGATGTCATGTGATCAGGTGGTGAGTGGGGCATCATGAGCTGAGACGTTAAAGTGAACAGAGCGTAGTGAGAATGAAACAGTGAACATTTATTATTTTTCTTTCTTTGTGTATTTTATTTTATTATTTATTTTATTTGAATGATCAAATGTGAGCACTGTGAGTATGTTTCACTACAACTGCTATTAACAAGCAGCCAATCAGATTAAAACAGGAAGTGATAAAATGAGAGGTGTCACAGTACACAGCATTCACAGTTCAGTTCCTATCTTGGTTTTGGGGTCATACTTAAGGAAGTCAGATACCAGAATATTTTCAATAAGACAGAATGAATAATAAAAAATAAAACGTTGAGGTGACGCCGTCAGAAATGAAATGTTTGAATGTGCTGATCTGAATGATTCAGGACGAGTACACATATTGTTACGCCCCTGACAAATTCATCCCTTCAAAGTAAAGGTTTCATTTCCTTCTGTCTGTGTGTTCAGAGGATGGAGGAGGAGGACGGTGTGATCCAACCTGACGACACTGACAGCAACTGTGAGTACACACTCTTACACACAATGTTACACACACTGTTGCGTAGATAATACAACATCATCAATGAATTAATGCCTTTATTGTCATTGCATGTTCGTATACAACATTTACTTTGATAGAATATTTTTTACCCACTGTCAGGTTTGTGTGTGTGTGTGTGTGTGTGTGTGTGTGTGTTAAGTTAAATAAACTGTAAATGCACTCCTTTCCTCTCAGGCTCTCTGGTTGTCAACGGCAACACTTCCTGCTCCACAGCCAACAGCAAAGCAAGCCCAGAGTCCACCTGCTCCTGGTTGGAGGACAGGTGTAATGGCCACGCCCCTGGACGGTTCTCCAGCCCCGCCTCAGGCCTATCAGGCTTCTCAGGCTCTGTGATGTCAGCGACATCCGAGTCAGCACTTTCTACTCAGTCAGGATACTCGAGTGGAAGAGACGGTGAGAGCACACACACATACAGATTAACTGTAGGCAGCAGTATTGATCCATAATTAATGATAATGTAATAAACGTGATTTCATGTGTTGTTTGTGTGTTTCAGTGTTCAGTGCGTCAGATTTTATCCTCAGTCCTCTGGATCCTCAGAATGCCCACAAACTCAGAGTGAAGATCGCTGACCTGGGAAATGCATGCTGGGTGGTGAGACATCTTCATCTTCTCCTCGTCCTCTCTGTAGTGTCAGTATGAACATTGGACCAATCAGATGGCTCCTCTCTGTCTCCCTGTGTGTGTCTCATCCAGCACAAACACTTCACAGAGGACATTCAGACCCGACAGTACCGAGCTCTGGAGGTTCTGATTGGAGCAGAGTATGGGCCGCCTGCTGACATCTGGAGCACCGCCTGCATGGTACACACACTCACGCACACACTGAAACTCACTATGAAACCCACACTTGCAGACATGACTCCCCTCACACATGATAAATGCTGTCAGAGACTTCTTTAGTGTGGAAAGAAGTTTGGGAGTTGAGTGTAAATTAAAGGGTAAAAAAAAGTAAAAGTGTATTTTAATTTTTTTCTAAAAGTGATGGCTAACATGAACGAGCCTCAGCCTGACATGTCACTATGTCACAAATTTTTCATAAAAATTTCATATCAAAGTCAAAGTAGAGCATAACAATTTTCAATAAAACGTTATGTCGTATATATATCATAAAATTTAATTTAAAAAGTTCATTGAAAACTCATAGTACAGTATATATAAAATATTTTATTTAAAAAAAAAAGTATTAAAAAGTCTTAGTTCAGTATGTGAAAAAATCTTCAGAAAATTTCATTAAAGAATTCATAGCATTGTAGGTTGTAAAAAAAGTCTAAGTTTTGAAACAAATGTGATTCAAGTGTCATATATTGGTTGTCATAAAAATTCAATCGAAAAGTTAGTTTAGTAAGGTATTGTATTTTATTGCAGGAAAAAAAATCCTTAAAAAAGCCATGGTATACTATTTTATAAAAAAATAAAAATAAAATTATAGTATGTCGAAAAAAGTCATATTATACTATGTCAAAAAAAGTCATAGTATAGTATGTCGAAAAACTGCAAAAAAAAGTCATAGTATGTCAAAAAAAAGTCATATTATAGTATGTCGAAAAAACTGCAAAAAAGTCATAGTATAGTACGTCGAAAAAAGTCATAGTATAATATGTCGAAAAAAATTACAGTATAGTATGTCGAAAAAACTGCAAATAAAGTCATAGTATGGTATGTCAAAAAAAGTCATATTATAGTATGTTGAAAAACTGCAAAAAAAGTCATAGTATAGTATGTCGAAAAAAGTCATAGTATAGTATGTCAAAAAAGTCATCATATAGTATGTTGAAAAAACTCGATGAAAAGTCATAGTATGGTATGTCAAAAAAAGTCATAGTATAGTATGTCGAAAAAAGTCGTATAGTATGTCGAATAAACTGCAAATAAAGTCATAGTATAGTATGTCAAAAAAAAGTCATATTATAGTATGTTGAAAAACTGCAAAAAAAAAGTCATAGTATTGTATGTCGAAAAAAGTCGTAGTATAGTATGTCGAAAAAACTGCTAAAAAAGTCATAGTATAGTATAACGAAAAAACTGCTTAAGAAGTCATAGTATAGTATGTCGAAAAAAGTCATATTATAGTATGTCAAAAAAACTGCTTAAAAAGTCATTATCGTATGTCCAAAATAGCCATAGTATAGTATGTAGAAAAAACTGCTTAAAAAGTCATATTAAAGTATGTCAAAAAAAGTCATATTATAGTATGTTGAAAAACTGCAAAAAAAGTCATAGTATAGCATGTCAAAAAAAGTCATAGTAGACTATGTCGAAAAAACTGCTAAAAAAAGTCATAGTATAGCATGTTGAAAAAAGTCATAGTGTACTATGTCGAAAAAACTGCTAAAAAAAAAAGTCATAGTATAGTATGTCGAAAAAGTCATCGTATAGTATGTCGAAAAAACTGCTTAAAAAGTCATTGTATAGTATGTGGAAAAAAGTCATAGTATAGTATGTCGAAAAAAGTCATAATATAGTATGTTGAAAAAAGTCATAGTATA